TTCTCAGCATGTGATCACACCACACAGCAGGACTTACAGTTATCACAGAAACATGTTATTATTACTTTCTAGTAGTTTCTTTATCATTAAACACGTTTTTATCACAATGTGTTAGAGTTTAAAATCAGATCTATATCATTTCCCACCAATAACAGAGTTATGTCTTAATGCTGATATACTGGGAACATCTGATGCTATCAAGTTGAACATATTGAAACTTTATTGGTTTGTTAATTGTGTTTGTGTGCGCAATAAATGTTTCAGATGCTCAGAGAAGCCAAAACATCCTTCATCCATCATTCACATCCACATATTAACTAACATTTAAATATGTACATCTCTAATATTGTCAAGTGATTCATTTAATTTCTGTTTCTTTTGGTAACAGTCAGTGACAGCAGGAGCACAGACATGTGATCAGATCACACCGACAACTCATTACACTCTATTATCATATATTATTATATATTATATTAAATGGACTAACAGCAAATGTCTATCAGAACATGTCAAATCTTTTTCATCAAATGCTTGATGTTAATATAATGTTTCCTCTTTTTTTAACTCATGTTGTAATTTATGTTTTATTATAGACTTAATGACTGTGGACTCTCAGAGACTGAATGTGAAGTCGTGGCCTCAGCTCTGAAGTCTGACCCCTCTCATCTGAGAGATCTGGACCTGAGTGAGAGCCCTCTGGATGATTCAGCAGTGGAGCTGCTGAGTTCTGCACTAAAGAGTCCAAACTGCAGACTGGAGGCTCTCAGGTCAGTTCACTGACTGCAGTTCATATTGATCTGTTTGTGTTTATGATTTTCTGAATTTGAACAATACAATGTTTATTTTATTTGTTCCGTTTTTGCTAATGACTGAATATTGATCAGAGTAACAAAGAGAAGGTGAATGTGTGAGGGAGAGTGTTTGAGCTTCCACAGACTCACTCTGTGCACCAGGAGTCAGTGGAGATGCTGTCAGTACTGATGAGCTGTGAGGGAGATGAAGGAGTTGTTCAACATCTGATCAAAGTTAAAGTTCCAGATTATCAGTGGATTGTTTCTGCATCATCTCTGACATTAAAACCCTGTTTAACTCTGAACAGATTATTAAACCTGGAGTTATTTCAAACAGGAACATTGTTTTTCTAAAGTTACATCATGCTTTCTTTATTCAGACTGGAGTGCTGCAGGTTGTCAGAGATCAGCTGGGCAGCTCTGATCTCAGCTCTGAAGTCTAACATCCATCTGAGAGATCTAGACCTGAGTTTCAACGCTCTGCAGGATTCAGGAGTGGAGCTGCTGAGAGATCTTCTGGAGAGTCCAGACTGCAGACTGGAGACTCTCAGGTCAGTTCACTGACTCTCTGTTACTGCTGGAGATCTCACATGTTCACTTTGGAATTGAACCTCATTTATATTCATTAATAACTTACAGCCATAAAGTTGTAAATGTCCTTTTATTCATATTTCATTTTAAGAGTAAGAAGAAAGAACTGCAGACATACATGTTGAGTGTTTCTTAAAGTAACTGTAATAGATGTTAGTTGTGAAAAGTAAATCTATGTATTTAATATTTAGTAAACGTTAATGTCTGAATAAAGATCATCTGAAGTCATTTTAGTTTTAAATTGTGGTCAGAATTTATTCATCAAATGTGGAGAGAGAATCAAACCATTCAGCTGTCTTTGTCGTATTTTATTTCTTGAAGAAAGTTCAGTCAGTCACACAGAGAGCATACAGTCTGCAGAGAGGAAGACGAAGAGTAGAGTTTGGGTTGCATATTTAAACACAGAAGCCTCGTCTCAATACCCCTCCTCGACTCCTCTTTTCCCCTCCTCCGGGACTTGACCCGAATCGATCAAGACACGCCATTTTGAAGGACGTTTTTTTGAGGGGTGAGGGAGGATGGGTGCGGGAGGAGACCAAAGGGAGGATACACGAGAGCAGACTACGCGGAAGTGTTTTCACTACTCGCGTATAAAAGCCCCGCCCCACCTTCACAGCTGGTCGATTTCAAGAGAGGAAACGGAGACTGGAAGAATGAGTGGGAAAGAGTCACATAAATGTCCAAGTGCTCACAGCTCCGTGGGAATATTATGTGCAATTCATTTCTAAGGTTATACTAACATTTAAGTCCTGTTTAATGATCTTGAACGTCACTAAAACATAGCTATTAAGAAAGCTATTTCATGATGGCTAGATCTTGATAAATACAAATTATTTGTTTTGTTTTGTGTTAAAATATTGAGTAGTTAAATTATTTAAAATGCAGTCCTGAATGTGGGGATCTACAGGACACACATGTTCAGAGTAAAGCTTTCACATTACTATAATTAAATTTTATTGAAATGTACATATTTGACACCAAAACGGAACACAAAAGCAGGACCAACCATCATACATTGAATTCCTTGACTACAAGAGAAAGATTAATCATTTAAATAAATATTAAACAACAAATTGGGCCGGTTCTAAAGGTTATTCAGTTAAGCCCGATGAGAGGGGATACAGCTGTGCACATGTCATCATTAACAGACGTCGTTTAAGAGTGACGTTTGAGGTGAACCGAGGACATCCCAATTAATACCTGAGGACTCCTCTGTCTCGGGTTCCTCCTCGTGTCTCCTTCTCGCGTCTCCTCCTCGCATCTTACGGAGGCGGAGCTAAGACGCAAGGAAGGGACGCGAGTGAGGGAAAGGAGGAGTCGAGGAGGGGTATTGAGATGAGGCCCGAGAGAGGAGAAAGGGAGGGGGGAAGCTTGGTGATGATGAAGGAGCATTCTGGGAGTTAGGCAGTTAGGGAGGCCGTATCAGGAAGTTCTCAGTTTTCACCTGAGGTGAAGGTCTTACTGTTGGTGCACATAGACGAGTCACTAACAACACCTGCAACACATCTTCTTCATAAGGACTTTCCCCAAGCTTAGCTAAGAAAGTGAGACAGTAGCAAATATAGATAAACATTAGCAAATAAGAATCACACAATTATATTATTAAAGTAAGTAAGTGAGTATAATTGTTGTTGTTGTTGTTGAGTAACATCTGATTGGATTATAAACAGATTTGTATCCTCATCATGTTTTCTTTATTCAGACTGGAGCACTGCTGTTTGTCAGAGATCAGCTGTTCTGCTCTGATCTCAGCTCTGAAGTCCAACCCCTCCCATCTGAGAGATCTGGACCTGAGTTGGAACGATCTGAAGGAATCAGGAGAGGAGCTGCTGGGAGATCTTCTGGAGAGTCCAGACTGCAGGACTGGAGACTCTCAGGTCAGTTCACTGACTCTCTGTTACTGCTGGAGATCTCACATGTTTACTTTGGAATTTAACCTCATTTATATTCATTAATAATTTACAGCCATAAAGTTCTAAATGTCCTTATATTCATATTTCATTTTTAAGAGTAAGAAGAAAGAACTGCAGACATACATGTTGACTGTTTCTTAAAGGAACTGTAATAGATGTTAGTATGTGAAAAGTAAATCTATGTATTTAATATTTAGTAAACGATAACGTCTGAATAAAGATCATCTTGAAGTCATTTTAGTTTTAAATTGTGATGGGAATTTATTGATCAATGTGGAGAGAGAATCAAAGCATTCAGCTCTTTGTGGTATTTTATTATTGCAAGAAAGTTCAGTCAGTCACACAGAGAGCATACAGTCTGCAGAGAGGAAGAGGAAGAGTAGAGTTTGAGTTGCATATTCAAACCACAGAAGCCTCGTCTCAATACCCCTCCTCGACTCCTCTCTCCCCTCCTCCGGGACTTGACCCGGAATCGATCAAGACACGCCATTTTGAAGGACGTTTTTTTGAGGGTGCGGGAGGAGGGGTGCGGGAAGAGACGAAAGGGAGGATACACGAGAGCAGACTACGCGGAAGTGTTTTCACTACTCGCGTATAAAAGCCCCCCGCCCCCACCTTCACAGCTGGTCGATTCAAGAGAGGAAACGGAAAGAACTGGAAGAATGAGTGGGAAAGCGTCACATAAATGTCTAAGTGCTCACAGCTCCGTGGGACATTATTATGTGCAATTCATTTCTTAAGGTTATACTAACAATTTAAGTCATGTTTAATGATCTTGAAGTCACTAAAACATAGCTATTAAGAAAGCTATTCATGAATGGCTAGAATCTTGATAAATACAAAATTATTTTGTTTTGTTTTGTGTTAAAATATTGAGTAGTTAAATTATTTAAAATTCACAGTCCTGAATGGGGGATTCTCCACGACACACATGTTTCAGAGTAAAGGCTTTCACATTACTATAATTATAATTTTATTGAAACTGTACATTTGACACCAAAACAGAACACAAAAGCAGGACCAACATCATACATTGAAGTCCTTGACTAACAAGAGAAAGATTCATAATTTAAATAAATATTTAACAACAAATGGGCCGGTTCTAAAGGTTATTCAGTTAAGCCCGATGAGAGGGGATACAGCTGTGCACATGTCATCATTAACAGACGTCGTTTAAGAGTGACGTTTGAGTGAACGAGGACATCCCAATTAATACCTGAGGACTCCTCTGTCCTCGCGTCTCCTCCTCGCATCTTACGGAGGCGGAGCTAAGACGCAAGGAACGGACGTGAGTGAGGGAAAGGAGGGGAGTCGAGGAGGGGTATTGAGATGAGGCTCGAGAGAGGAGAAAGGGAGGGGGGGAAGCTTGGTGATGATGGAGCATTCTGGTAGTAGGGAGTTAGGGAGGCCATATCAGGAAGTTCTCAGTTCACCTGAGGTGAAGGTCATACTGTGTGGTGCACATAGAGAGTCACTAACAACACTTGCCAACACATCTTTCTTCATAAGGACTTTCCCCAAGCTTAGCTAAGAAGAGTGAGAAGTAGTAAATATAGATAAACATTAGCAAATAAGAATCACACAATGATATTATTAAAGTAAGTAAGTGAGTATAATTGTTGTTGTTGTTGAGTAACATCTGATTGGATTATTAACAGATTTGTATCCTCATCATGTTTTCTTTATTCAGTCTGAGGAGCTGCAGTTTGTCAGAGATCAGCTGTTCTGCTCTGGCCTCAGCTCTGAAGTCCAACATCCATCTGAGAGATCTGGACCTGAGATACAACGCTCTGCAGTATTCAGATGTGAAGCTGCTGAGAGATCTTCTGGAGAGTCCAGACTGCAGACTGGAGACTCTCAGGTCAGTAAGGGGTCTCTGCTGGTTCAGCAGTATTGTATGAAAACACAGGGAGGTGTTTCTCTCACTGGGGAATCACAACAGATCAGTGATGTTACCCACTGACTGCAGGCTCTTTCATTCTTCCATCAACTATAGAAGGCCAGCTGAAAATGCAAAGCCACATTTAGTAAGTAATCAACTTTCCCCAGACATATGGGATTTGACAGAAGAGTGGAAAAGGTAGTCTGTTTTTGATGGGATGTTTTTAGCTCCTTGACTAATGACTGTTACTTCCTGTAATGCAGCTGAGAGCTGTGGCAGTCAGTTGTAGTGTTTGCAGAGAAGATATGATGGGATGTAAAGCATGAGATCAGTCAGGACTCTGAAGCTGACTCAAAGAACAAACACTTATTTTAAACTGGATCCATAACTGTTGGATTGTGTTCATCCCTACAGGATCAGAGATGATGAGACGATCAGAGCCAAGATCCAGAAGAACTGTGAGTACTGAATATCCTCCATTCATCCAAGATATGAAACTCTTTCATGGAGCATGTCCTCAGAGGAAACCACACTCTTGTTTTTTCTCTCTTCATCATTTTGGCTGTTTCTCTTCACAACAACTGTTCTATCAAAAACAGTGACGGCTTCACTGACACTCTGTAAAATGTAAATAACTCTGAAGAATAGAACACATGAAAACATCAACATTATAACCAGTTACAGTATTACCATCAAAATATACTTGAGTAAAAGTAGAAGTACTCAGATCTTGTATTTGAGTAAAAGTAGAAGTACTCAGATCTTGTACTTGAGTAAAAGTAGAAGTACTCAGATCTTGTACTTGAGTAAAGTAGAAGTACCAGAGTGTAGGAATACTCTGTTACAGTAAAAGTCCTGCATTCAAAAATGTTCCTCAAGTAAAAGTAGGAAAGTATTCTCATCAAATATAGTGAAAGTAGCGACAGTAAAAGTAGTCATTGTGCAGATTGGTCCATTTCAGAATAATATATATTTAAGCAATAGCTCACGACAGGCCGTGGTATATGGCCATTATATCACAGTTAAGGGGCGTGGTTCGGCCCGACGCGAAGCGGAGGGTCGACAACCCGCTTTAGAATTATATTAGACAGAGAGCGTTGATCCATTATTTGGCTATTTATTTACATTAATTTGTATGTTGCCGTTTATTGTGCACCCACTGAAAAACTGTCCAGCATCAGTAGAATGGCTTATGTGGTTACTTGTATAGGTTGAGGTTGTTCTAGGCTGTTGCTTGGCGTGGCGAGAATATTGCTCCACTTTCTCCGGTCCCCGAGATTCGGCTTCCAGTAGCTCTGGAGAGAGCTTTCGCACCTGTGGCCACTAACGGTCATCATTTCTCTGCCTTGTTTCAAGACCCGCATCAGAAAGCTTTTGAATGGTGATACTTTTCCAGTTGGTCTACCTGCTCTTCACGTAGCTCTACATGTCGTCGTTTAGGTGCTTTTTGTTCTGGAGATAGGCACTCCTCAATCCACTCCTCCATAGTAAGATCCACCCCCCCCCCCCCGGAGGTCGAAGTTACTTAAATGTTTTTGCGGACCTTTTTGATTACAGATTTGAAAACATCGTTGCTTGCTTTAAAAGTAGCACAATTCATTATGTCAAACCTTGGAAAGTATCTAGATATCCCTGCCCTAATGCCAAAGGAACTGCACACTGAATATGTTTTGCAGTTTGATGTCTATGTCTGGACCGCTGCGTAAAAAGGAGGGTTTCTGCTCCGTTACTTTTCCGCTGTTTTCTTGTCCCAGTTTGAAAAGCAAACTGCAAGCAGTTTGCTTTTCAGCGCAACTGTATACAGTTTTTCTCAGACGCGGAGGGATACTGACTTGTTGTGAAAAGTAACTACAATTCTACCCGTGGTATACGCTCAGTATACCATGGCTAAGAACCAATCAGATTGCTTGATTTGACTTGTCCGTTTTATAAGATATGTTTTATAATGATTGATCATGAAAGTGTTCTCAAAGCTGGTAAAGGTGCAGCTAGTTTGAATGACTTTGTATACTGCAGGGTAGCTTGTGAATTTACTCCAGGTGGAACTAAAGTCTGATTTAACACTTGATTATATTTCACATCATTCATCCACATCTGTAAAGTAACTAAAGGGAAATACATGTAGTGGAGGAAAAGTACACCATGTACCTCTGAATTGTAGTGGAGTAGAAGTACAACGTAGAATAAAATGGAAATACTCAGGTAAAGTGCCTCAACATAGTACTTAAGTACAGCACTTGAGTAAATGTACTTAGTTCCTCTCCTGATCTGTAAAGCTCTCCCAACATATGCAGGTTAGCATCCGGCAGCTTCTATGTGCTGGGGACCCGTACTGTACATTTCTCTCATCACACTTTGGGCTCCTCAACATGTGTGGGTTCCCAGCAGGACTCTCTGAGCTGCAGACACATTCTTTCTGTGACTTTGTTCCAGATATTTGGAGCATAATAACTGAAGCTGTTTCTCCATGTTCAGGAACTCCCATCCCCCGAGTCCTGCGGCAGGAAGCGCTCCTTCTCTTCAAGAACTCCTGGACCCTGCAAGCTGGTCCAGAACCAGAGTCCCAGTGAGGAGTCCAGCCAGTCGACCTCTCAGAGTTAAACTAAACTACAACATTATTAAAGATCATGTTTAAAGTTAAAAAAGGATGCTTTCAGACTGAATCCAGAAGTTTCTCAAGCTGCAGTCAAAGCAGGTCATTTGTGAAATATATAAAACAATTATAAAACTGTAATAAGAATTACTCTGAATACTTTCTTTGGACATTTTATTTAAACAACATTTTAAACAAATATTTGAAATGTTTCTGACTTTCTATCGGAGTGCTTTTCTCATGAATTAACGACTTAAATCTTGTTTTCTTTCTTGTGTATTTCATAATCCTTCAGGATATTATATTTTTTTTCATGTAACTTTAAGACTAAATATTATTTCTCAGCTCTGTGATAAAAAAACCATTAATAAAATAAATATCCCACTTCTTGTACTTATATCCTGATTGATGAGTCAGCAGTAAAGCAGCCAGGCGTTAACGGTCAGCTGGCATGTGTATCTGTTCATTGGCTCATATGTGTAGCATGTTTAATGGCAGTGTGTTGAAAATGGCTGACAGGTGAATATGTCAGATCTCTGTGTGTTACTCAGAGAACCGTGTGCAGTGTTTTAGAAAGTGCAGAGTTGAATTGCAGATTGTGTGCAGAGCTGAAAATGTGTTTAGAGTTTGTTTGATTTGATCCAGCCAGTTCTGCCACAGCAAAGCATAAGGGCTCAGAGCTTGGACCTATTGTGTTCACATTATATACGCTTCCTTTAGGCAATATTATATATATATATATGCCGTTAAAAACTGTGTATTTTGTAAAACGTTTAAAAAATTAATCTTTCTTTTTTAATCTTTAATACTTTGTTGTATGCATGCTTTAGGTAACATGAAGCTGTCTTTGTCTCTTTTCTGCTGTAACAATGTACATGTATCCTCTGTGGGACTAATAAAGGGATTCTGATTCTGATTCTGATTCTGATTACACCTACAGGAGCTTTCAGGACATCCCATTCCAAACTCTTAGGCATTCATTTGAAGTTGGTCCCCTTTGCAGCTATAACAGCTTCCACTCTTTTGGGAAGGCTTTCTACAGATCTTGGAGTGTGTCTGTGGGAAGCCCTTTCATCCAGAAGAGCATTAGTGAGGTCACACACTGATGTTGGACGAGAGGCTGGCTCTCCGATCTTTTACAAATATTTTAAACATATATGCAGTATACGAAGTCATTAAAACTAGCTGCACCTTTACCAGCTTTGATAACACTTTAATGATCAATAATTATAAAACATATCATATATATTATTCTGAAATGGACCAATCTGCACAAT